ATCTCTCAGTGCGTGGATAGCAATTAAGACTTGCTGATCTAGGGAGACCTGTTGCAAGTGCACATAGGTCTTAACGTTGGCCTCCCAATTGTCAAAGTTTTCCTCCCTCTTCCCGCTGTAGGAATCGGGGAACTTGACTTTGACAGGCTCCCGGCGAGGAAGACGTGCTTTCTCCTCCTTGGGAGCTGCCGCCTTGACGCCTTGACGCCTTCAATGGCGCCGGCGCAGAACCGCTCAGTCTTGTCGAGGCGATGACCCACCTCGACTCCAACGACGCCTACCAGCTCACGAGCAAAGTCTCGAAAGCCCAACCGTATCGAGCGCACCGCTATGTCCTGGCTTCTGCTAAAGTCATATTGGTCTGYCTGAACCCGTGCTAGGCATGCAACGCTTCGAGCTATGACTCGCATTTGATTTGGGAGATCGGGCTGGGCAGCTAATTGCGCCTCTATATTCTTCACTTCCTCTAAGGCCTCTGCCGCCTCCGCTGCCTTGTCAATTCTCCTCTTCTTCTCCCGCATCACCGCTAATTTCCATTCCATCCTCTTCTCGTCTTCCAAAGCTTGACGTTTCAGAGGGTCTTTCTCTGCCTCCCAAGCCTTCATGGCGGCTTCTTGGTGATCCTGCGGGATGTACATACTAACCTCTTCCTCTTCTCCCACAGTCAGGTTGGCAACCCATTCAGATATCCTCTTCTCTAAGTCTCCACCGGTATTACTACTGGGCTGCCCACTACTCCTTTGCAGTGGCRGTCCTTCCTTTTCTTCATCCACCTCCTTCARCTTCTCTTCTTCTTCCTTTTTCAACTTCTCTTTCTCCCTGGCCATCTCTTCTTCCATCTTCTTTAATTTGGCCGCCTGCTCCTCCTTCAAGGCCTTCTTCTTGGCCTCCTTCTTCTCCTGCAGAATGGCGGCCATCTTCTCCTCCTCCTCCTTCGTGTAAGGGGTGGTGGAAGTCCCACCGCGAGTGGGCCCTACTCTACACGTGAAAGTGGGCCAAAAGCCCAGAGGAAAGAGGAGACGCCAGAGAGTCCCCCAGAGGGAGAACCCAACAAGTACCCCATACATCGGATAGTCATCCATCGTGGTGTTGGTGCACGACAGGGGTCCCACTCCTCACCACGTAGACCTACCCGGACACACTGACCTACTGACTGACTCCCTAAGGRCCACAGGCAAYTAACCCAAGACTACTCTAAGGCTGTCACTACAGAACCAAAAGCTGAWYAGGAGGTATTTTAGAAGATCCCCCAACTTCGCAAGAATTCTTTAACGTCGCAGACAGGACGACGTGATCAGCTTGGTTCCTCTGGCGATTTCAGCCCACAACTCAGCCCGTCCAGCCTACTGTGCCACACCGAGCAGCCCGCCGGTCTGTACCGGTCCTTGGAGGGGTTCGTATCCCTCGGGACAGTCGAGTCGTCAGACACAGATCATCAGCCTTACTAGGTCCGGTAGGGGAGTGGCTCAACCAGGCCTCAATACTTAACGACGGCCTTCGTTTCAGCCCACAGCTCAGAGTTCAGACCCACTAAAATGATATTGAAAAACCTGTCGGTCAGTACCGGTCATTGGGCTAGACGAGTTGTTTAACGAGCGCTCGCCGCTCATGCCCAGGTCCTCAAGTCTCAGAGTAGGAGTCCTACTAAGCTCGTGTGGGTTTGGCAGCAAGGCCCTATCCTTCATCCACATATTCTATCACCTAGGACAGAAGAGACTCAATGCAAAAAGGAGAGACAGACAGACTCTTGACCTCAGCAAGTACCAATGGGTGAGTGTACATCCACGGGGTAGGGAGAAGGCTGAAGGCTTGGCGAGATCTCACCAACTCCAGCTTGGTCAAGTCTTGGTCAACGGCGGCTTGGTCAACGCTGGTCAACCTCATTGGTCAACCCTCTGGTCAACTCTCGGTCAACTCTCGGTCAACCCTCGGTCAACCCTCCAACCTTCGTCAACCTTCAGCTATGGCTGCCGGCACCTTCACCTTCTCTTTCTTTCTCCCTCTTGCACCCG